AAAAAATATATTAATTATATTATTAATATGTACATTCAAAACCCACGATAAATAAATAAATTAAAAAAAACCCATATCTTCATGTAACTTGTTTTGTTTAAATGTCCAGCGGTTTCTTCTCCCCTTCTTGGTTAATGAGACAAAAAAAATCCAGCTATATCATTTATCGGTTATTCCACGGTCAAACCGAGCGTATCAACTTGAAGCTCATCTCCACCGTCAATACGAGCCCTCCTAAAAATCAATGGAGGAGACAACACTGGATGACACAACAATGAATGGAGGAAGAGTCTTCCCTTATTCCTTAACAACAAAGCTTCCATTACTATAAGAGGCAAAGATCGTGCCTCTTCTCCTCCATCATTAGCTTTTCGCATTCATCTCAATCCTGCAATTCGTACGTAGCTCTACCTTCCCAAGTCCCAACCATCAAAATGGTGAGATATATATATATATTTTTTACAAAGTAGCATTAGTTAGGTATTAATATCTATTGATAAGTAAATATTGGAGTCGAAACTGAGTGAACTTCACCTACTACTCTTTGAAGTAACGTGATCCATCCATTGGGCCACATAGGAGAGTTCATCAAAATGATGAGATTTATAATTGAGTCGTGTGACATGCAACCTTTTTTTCTTTTGTGATTGGTGAGTAGTGTGAATTGATGATAAACTTATTTTTGTTTGCTTTGTTTACATGTCTATTTTATACGTAGCAGTCTCTCGGGCTTGAAATTGAGGTATTGCTACAAACCTTTATTTACTTCTTTCTTTGTTAAATTTGAATTGTTGCATTCCATTTACATTAACTATAACTCACTTTGATGGAGTATAAATGGTAGATTAATCTTTTTTAAATGACTCTTTTGACAGAAGGACTTTGTCCAAACATCAGAGCGAGTCAAATCTGTGGATCTACATCCAACTAAACCATGGTAATTTTTTACTCTTATATATATTATCCATTTCATAAAGAGCATGAACTAAACCATATATGATATCATCTAAGCTATTTGGAATGACATTTCCATGCAGGATTTTAACCAGTCTGCACTCAGGAAGTGTGTGTATTTGGGACTACGAGTCCCAGGTAAGGCATTGGAACTAGAAAGATAAACTAGTTGGTATTTTCATGGTTCTCAAATTTCAGTTTAAAATCGTTTCAATTTGATGCTATTGCAGAAGTTAGAGAAGTCCTTCACGGTCACTGGATCACCAGGTACCTGACCTGACATGTTTTTGGTTGGTAATTTTGGTTCCCTTTTCCTTGGTAAGGTTATATCCTTAACAAAAATGTGTCACATGTGGTTACAGTAAGGTCAGCAAAGTTCATTGTGCGGAAAAACTGGATTGTTGTTGGATCTGATGATGCATTTATCCGTGTATATGATTGTGAAACAATGGAAGTTATCAAAGAGTTTGAAGCACACAGCGATTACATTAGGGGTCTGGCTGTGCATCCTAGTCTTCCATATGTGTTGTCGTCCTCAGATGACAAACTTATAAAGATTTGGGACTGGGAGAAGGGCTGGATTTGCACTCGGGTATTTGAAGGCCATGATCATTATGTGATGCAACTCGCGTTCAATCCAAAAGACCTCAACACTTTTGCAAGTGCATCACTTGATGGCACCATAAAGGTACTGATTAGTGAGGAGATTTTGCATTTGCAAACCAGGATTAATGTTTAGGTAATCTGGATGCACTATTTAAGCTTGATAAAATTTCTGTTTCAGATATGGAATGTTGATTCTCCTAATCCAATATTTACATTGGATGCACATGCAAAGGGGATTAATTGCATCGACTACTTCATTTCTGGTGATGAACTATACCTCATAAGTGGTTCAGATGATTATACTGCTAAGGTTTGCGACTTAATACTCTCTTAATTGTTTATTTATTGTGATTCATTACATTACTTGATAAATTAATCATGTCTAAATAGGTATGGGACTATAAGTCCAAAACTTGTGTCCAAACACTTGAAGGTCATGCACATAATGTTACTGCAGTACATGTTCATCCAGAGCTTCCTATCATAATTACTTGTTCTGAGGATGAAACTGTCCGCTTATGGGACAAAGCAAATTACAGGTAAACTTTGTACATATCTTCTGCAAGTTTTGGAGCATACGATGTTCTTAACTAATTTAACTAACTTGCAGACTTGAGAACACAATGAATTATGGTCTTCAAAGAGTTTGGACTGTTGGATACAGAAAAAATTCGAAGCAGTAAGTTTCAACCTATAGTTCTTGGCAAATTCACTCTTTACTTAAGTTGTACAACACAACTTTTACAAAATTTTCCTAATTAGTAGTCTTGTCCTTCAAACAGATTCGTGTTCGGTTGTGATAAGGGGACAATTATGGTGAAAATTACTAGCTCCAAAGGCTCTGATGCTGCAAATTTGAAACAGGAATAGGAAGTCTCGAAAGCATAATGCCATATACCACAGTTATCATCAAGGGGTGTTGTGAAGAATAAAAACCGTGTCTATTTATGGTTTAAGAGGAAAAGAAATAAGTTCACTTATTACTGTTTATGCAGCTACCGATTAAGTGCGTGAGCACTGAAAGTATAAAGGTCCTTCTTAGGACGGCTTGTTTATGTTTGTTTGACATGTTTTTCTGTTGATGATGTATTAGTTGTAATTCCCGACATGAATCTGTTATAGGTTCATGAAATCTCTTATAATTGAATAAGTTTCCAGTTGCAAATTCAATTTAATGTTCAATTCAACCAAAATACATACATTCATATATACACACACACACATACACAAACATATATATAATTGAAATGCAGGGTTAAATTCACTGGAAAAAATAAATGTCGTTTCATAGTTCATCCAATGATATGAAGCAGTTAGCCATGGTTGTAGCCTTATTGGCAATTATGAAAACTATGTGATTATTTGTTTACAATTTTTCTCTAAATAACTGTATAAAGTATGACCCTCTACAACGAGATAGATGGTCAAATCTTGATGAATGAGATCTCTCCAGTGCCTCAAGCATTATTGCCCTTATTTTCTTGATCCAATGACCCTGAAGATAATAATGCAAACTGCTTTAGAATTTCATAAGAAAAGTTCCCGGTATACATAGGAGGCAAACAACTCAATATGACAATTAGTCACACTAGTTTCTATCAGCATAAACTGGTATGGATATGTATATCACACCAAATTTGCCAGCCCTAGAGCCTACTCAGATATTTCCTTTACACTGTGTTTTGAGGGTAATAGTGGGGAGGGGGAGGGGGAAGGGGAGGAGACAGAGGAAGAGGTCTCCCCTTCCCTTTGTTTTGGGCAACCCTTTTAGAAGAGGGTGATGGAGATGGAGGGGTGGAGAAGCTTGCTCAACTCCTTTATTTCCCATCCCCAAATTGGGGGAATTGGGTTAATTTTGACCCCTTTTTTTTAAAAAAAAGGTAAGCAAACATCTTATTTCAATTATTAATCAATTAGTAAAATTATAAAATTCAATTAATTTTTAAAAAAAATTATTTAATTAAACAGAAAATATAATCCTCCACTTCCTCATCAGTAAAAATAAAAGAGAAAAATGGAGAGTAGTTACCATTGGACTTTTCCTCTCTTAAACCAACAGCTATGTTCTGGAAGAAGTCTTTGGTAGCATCTGCATCGTGAGAGGAATAACAGTGAGCACAGAGATATAATAAACTATGAAATTAATGCAGAAGGGAAAACGTTTCTTTAATCGGAACAACCACATCTCTTGAATGTGGTGTGGTGTGTTGTCTGGACAACATTTTTTCAGTTAGACCAGATTCAAAATTTGTATCTTCAATGCAGAATCCATAATAACAGAAGAATGTGCAGATTTTAGAGAGTAAGGATGTGAGAGCAAAAAACATACTTGTGCCATTAACCAATGTCCACCATTTAAGTTGTCACATGTTGCCAAACACATTACATAAAACATTAATACTAGTGATGCGATATTGCATTTGTATTGTTTGACATAACCGCAACCCCAAGGATAAAATATAAGCTATCCAAGACAATTTTAGATCCTGTGTGTAAGAATTCAAGACATACCATGATTCATGGTCAATGAGGGATCTTGCTCATTTATGAATCCAATTACCCGTGCAGGTGTTCCGGCCATCATACTTTCAAAAAGAAACAGTTATATCAAACATGTGTATGATCAATTTAGAAACAGCATACATTCAATGAATAAGGTAAGTTTTGATCTACCTATGTGGAGGGACATCTTTTAACACTAACGAACCAGCAGCAAGCATTGCACCTTCACCTATTTTGATGTTCCCAAGTATAGTCACACAGGCCCCAAGGAGTGCACCATCACCTACTTTTGGATGGCGATCTCCAATTTCTTTCCCCGTCCCTCCCAAAGTCACACCCTGATAAACAGCATAGTAAGGAACATTATTACTAGAAAATAATGTTCCCTCTCCAATTCAGGCATTGCTACAGGATTATGACATCTCATCTGCCAGAATTTATAATTGATGAAGGAAATGGTAAGAAAATGAAAAGAATAGAGTGGCTTACATGCATCAATGAGACACGGTTTCCAACAACAGTTGTTTCACCAATAACAACACCTGTTGCATGATCCAATATTATTCCCTCTCCAATTCTTGCAGCTTCATCAAATCATTAAGAAAACAGATTCAATTACCAGAAAACAATTATCACTCAGATATTAAACATATTCCAATGGCAAAGCTATACATATACACCTCCAAAAGAACTCATATGCTTATGTATCCATTAAGCTGTGTTATACAATATATCCACACCATAACTTTACATGTAAATGATGCTATTCTTCTTCTTCTTGTTAAATTTCATAACAACCTATGATAAATAACAAATAGGGGGAAAGGATGGATATGAAGAAAAAGAAATACCTGGATGTATGTCAACTCCGAAAACCTGACAAATACATGATAGATATTATTAGGAAAAATGAAATGTGAAAAGGCATAAACCAAGTTTTTGGGGAACATATAAAAGGTAACACTTACCTCACTAATTCTGCTTTGCAATGCCAAAGCCAATATTTTCCTATCTTGCTTCCACAATGCATGTGCTACTCGATATGATTGCAAAGAATGGTATCCCTATAAAATGAATGATGGAAACAAAGCCAGTGCATTCTTAATAATTTCATTTTTAAAACTTTCCATCCAAAGACTAACAATAATTTGGATGCCGCAATAGTACTATTAGCCTACTTTTAATGCCTGTCTCCAGCAACTCATCTTTCAAAATTGTCGTTTCTTTTAATGGGTCCCAAATAATAACTTGTCAACTACCTTTTGTCATAAACAATTTTCCATCAACATACAATTAGAAAATAAGATCAAGAAAATGTTATAAAGTCATAATAATGTACCTTAAAATACAATAGGGCTGAGCAATATGACAAGCAGGCAGGATCTCTCTCTTTGAATGCCTGCATAAGGATGACTTCCAAACATCAATACACATAAACTGCTGTTTGAAGAAAACAATCTAAAAGTCAATGAAACTTATATACATATTTCTCTTTAAATGCCCTCAAAAAATTACCTGCACATCCAGACGTATTGCTCGTTGAATGTCTGTATCATGCATCATAACATCATGAAATATATCCATCAGTTGAGTTGCCAACAGTGTTGGATTTTGGAGCCGATTGGCAAGGACAAACGCCAATGCTTGCTCTAAACAATCATGTGACAGGATACTAGCGTACAAGAAGCTACTTAGAATTGGTTCCTTCTCTGCCTGCAATCAACAATTTTTATTTAGTCATGTTGTGCAAAAACTAACAAAAGCAATTCAAGCCATGCATCTCATGCATGCAGATAATCTAGCAGTAAACTAGTTGGTACTTTGTGCATTTTTTTGAGTTCTCTCATTGATTCCAGGTAATGAACAAAGGCTTACGCTTTTCCAGCAAAACTCAGGTCTTAAAAAACTCAGCATATGGGTACATGATCATTTAACTCTCCTACCAAATTAAGTTCAAACTCAATCAAAAAAGGCACTTGCCAGTGCACCGTGCGACTTGGTAGTTTGCCAAGGTTCAAGTCCTTCCTTTATAAAGAAAATTCTCCCATCCCCAAATTTCCAATGTTTCAAAGAGAAAAACTCAATCAAAACAGATTTCTCTCTTAGAAAAATACGAAAAAAAATAAAATCAAAAGCCCTCTTTCTAATTCAGGAGGTGGGGTGATCAACGATCGAAATAAAAAATATTGATCTCCCGATCATCTAATTAGCAATTTGACAGTGAAGTCTCCCTCAAAATAACTCCAGTACAAAGTCAAACTATCAGGAAACGAAGATTTAACCTAGAAGAAAAGATACTAAAACTAAGAAATCTTTGAGAAAAATCAAGTCAACCTCAGGACATAACAACATTTCCAACCCTCTAAACCACTTGAAAACACAACAGATATCTTAACGATCAAGAACCCATACATAACAAGTGAAAGAATGAACTTTAATAAAGCAGCACCAGAAAAACAAGAAGAATTCAAAAGGGTACCTCCAACTTGGCTTCCTCTCTCACGGCGTCCCAAATCGGGTCACCACCCGAGTCCACAACAGAGCCGGAGTCAGCCTTGGAAACGTCCATTGCATAAACTGGAAACACCTTCTCGAACGGGAACTTCACGGAGTTCCCTCGACCTCTCCCACCGTCTTCCCTTTCTTTGAGAGATAACCCACCGGTGAGCACCTGAGTAAGGGAAGCCCAACTGTCATCGCTTACACAGGCCATGAAAACAAGAAGAAGAAAAAGGAAAAGATAAGGTTTATAGGGATTGCGTGCGAATGAGAAGGAATGGTTTCTCTTCATGAATGAAACAAGAGAAGGGAATCTAAAGAAGAAAAATGAGCGATGGGTGGTGGTGGTGCAGTGGAGTGGAGACTCAGCAGCCAGGTAAGCTTGCCTTTTTTCGATTAATTCAAGTGTACTGTATTGTATTCTTGTTCTTTGTTGTTTTCAGGGGCGGCTGCAGTAACGGATGACTGTAAAAGGCACACTCATCTTGTGGCCTCGTGGGCTCAATGGATTGATAGGTTCATCTCTTATTATGTCTCCTATTTCTAGTTTCCTTTAAAGAAATGCTTTGTTCTTTGGCATGTACTTTGATCTTAGACAATATATACTGAAACCTACCAGCCAAATTCGTTATAAGCTAGTTGATAAATGCCACAACATTAGTGTTGAGTCCAAGTCATGGGTTTTCCATCTCCTAGTGTGTGTTAGTATGTAAATCAAGTATAAGTGCTTTCTTTCCAAAAAAAAAAAGAAAAAAGGGTGAGGTAAACTTATTTAATTTTTATTTTAAAGATTTTTTTTAACTTGATAAATTGAGTGAAAAGTAAACTTTTTGCAAAGTATAATAAAGGATTTAAAAACATAATCTTTTAATTTTAAATATTTAAAATAAATATATGAATCATTAGATAATGAGGATTAGTTCATTTTAAAAAATCTTTCCTTTTAATAAAGAAAATTTTAAGAATAAAAAAAAATTTAGTTATAAAACTCAAAATATTATTATTTTAATATCTAATTCATAAGAAGATGATTATTAAGATAGTTAATGTTAGACATTTAAAAAAAAATTTAAACCTACTAAACAATTATAATATAAATAAAATTATTTCATTTTTTCACCAAATAGATACCTGTCGTCAGAGATGCAGACCTTCGCTATCATACCAAATCCCCATTGGTTGGTACTACGCGGCAGCCTGCTCATTTTTTTTCTTTTTAAACCATTACAATTGTGGAATAAGGGGGTTGTTTTGAATGCGAAATGAGTTTACTCTTCAATTAAACCCCAGAAGCCTAGTGCTCAAAACTGTTATTTCATTTCATTTGAAGAGAGAGAGAGAGAGAGAGAGAGAAGTATTCCTATATAAATTGAGACTTTTCACTAGCTATTTTAAGAGCAAAACTTGAATTGGTTAGAAAAGAAAATATAGTAACATTTCTTTATATATATATATATGATAATATGAATATTATTTAAGATTTTAATCAAATTAATTTTTAAATATTTATAAACTATCTCATTTATAAATATCAAATAAAATTATTTTTAATAATAAATACACTTAATTTATTAAAATTATTTACACCTAAATAATATTAAAAGGAGTTGAACTCATTTTTCATGAAGCTCCGAAAACTTCTTATATATCCACTTGAAGTAATTCTGAAGGGTGGTAAAAAGGAAAGACGCAATAATTTTATTTTGGCTGCCATGAAAAGATGATGAATATGCGGAAATAAGGACAACTTCAAAACCAACAAAGCAGCTGAAAGTTGGAAGCTGGAAGTTATATTTATCTGCAACATAAGTATAGGTGAAAGACGTGAGTGTGGGACTGTGGGGGCATCGAGTGGCAGATCAGATTAGATCAGGTCAGAACTGGGGAATCGTGAGTGAATGTGGTCAGATAAGCGACCAGGGACATTCCTTCTTCTTCTTTTTTTTTTTATTTTATTTTATTTTATTTTATTTTAGTCCTATACGATGATTAACATTTAACTTCCCCCAAGAAGGCTCGGATCATGTTTCTGCAACTTGATTACAATACACTCCCTCATATGCTGCTTGTCCCCCAAATCCAATAAGAAATGAA